CTCTGATTGGCTCGCTGCTCCCTAAGGATTTTGGTGACGTCATATATTAGCATAGAACTTCACCGAATAGACTACCCCAATTAGATATTAGATATCTTAAGTGTCTTCATAGTACGATGGTCTAAGAGGGTAGCTAAAGGTATGCTCTAGTGGGCAGCTACCCCCTCACTCCCTGGCCTTTTGGTTAAGACTAAGTTTTATGTTCACTCGGGATAGCGTGGAAGAGCCGAAATCTCTAACCGTAACGTAAGCCGATTCGCCGCCTCAGCTTCATAGAATGTCTCGGGGGAATCGTCCCATCTTTTTAGTTTTTATTTTTATTATTTCTCATATATTCCGGGGGGGTACATCTTCTCCTGAAGTGAAAGTTCTGAGTTCGAATCCTGCTTCTGGAATTTTTCTTTTTTGCTTGTTTATTGCTTCTTTTGTTTCTTGTTTTCTTTTCTTTTTTCTTTCTTTTTCTTTTATTCTTTTTTCTTTGCTGTTGTTTTTTTTTCTTTAGAGATTTTCTCTTTTCAACTTATTAAAATATTAAGGACTCGCAAGGAACGCCTGCTAAAAGTGGATGGTAATGGTTTGATGACATAGTGACAAGAGGCCCAATAAGACCTTTCCACAAAAGTGCACTTCAATGTAGTTGTTTTTTCCAGTAGTTTTTTTATTGTTAATGTCATATTCATATGCATTTCCTTATTGAATTAATTATTAATTACTTATTAATTGTATTCAATTTTCGGTGTAGAGTTAAATAAAATGGAAATTGATCAGCATACTTGTTAAGCTTTTATCGAGCGGAATACATGAGTAAACTGTGCTGTTCAAAGTAATCATCTTAAGGTACTTCTTTTGCTTAAAGCGGAATTATTACCAAAAACATTTACTATGCATGACGGATAAAGAGTGATATTTAACTTATAAAGGAAAAAACATGGGAAGCTACAATTGTATGTAAGTTAAAAGGAAACTTCATGAGTCGATTAACTTTACCCGCAGTGACTCCACCCTCCCCACCCTCCTAAACAAACCCTACAAAAATCACTTTCTTTCCGTTATATGCGTTTGGGGCWATTTACATGAGGAWAAGAGCGAAAAATGMAAGACAAAGAACATTAACGAACGATGAGGTCAAAGAATCAGCATAGCCAGTGAGGTCTGGCAGTTTCTCTAGCTCAAAAAGTGTAGAGTTGGAGCAATCAATATGTTTCTTCTTGTCAAACTTCATGCTCACAGCAAAGAGTTGGCATTGCTTTTTCTTGTACTGGATAGCTTTGCATCTAGAGAATATGATGRAATATATACATTTAGCTTGTTTTACTTCTCAGACAACCGCGCCCAGCATAAAARGGACAGAGAAGCGAACGGTTTCAAGTSCTRTTGKTGTACATATCTTACCCGTGACTTTTCTTGCTGTTCATGGACTTGCAGGTTTCCGCACATTTGGAGAGCGATTGGTCGACTGTTTTCACGACTTTGCCGTTTCTCAGGCATTTCCCCATGTATTTTTTCCAGCCTGTAAGGTCTGTAAAACATTGTGTTATATATCGAGTTAAACATTGCCGATCATAATTTTTTTCATTGAAACCCTACATGGATCCAAGAGCCTTTGCGCGATTTTCTCACGTACAACATTCGCCATCTTTGATTTTGAACCAATCAGAAAGCACCTTTCAACAAGAGATCATTTGTTAAACAAAAGAAACGATCGCAAAGACTCTTGGGTGCATGTAGGCCTTTAAATTCTGCTCGATTTCACCCCTACTAGACCGTAAAGGATTATGGAAATAGTAGGCTTTCTCAGTTTGAAGCCGCTTGTTCAAATAAGGAACATCGTCGACCAACATATGATTCAAGCCTTTCATTGTCCTTGTGYAAACTGATATCACGACAAAGACGAGAGATTTTCTCTGAGTTAATTTACCCACACTCCCTTTCGGTGTTGTTGCCTATAAAGGTTGATTATAGTTTTCAACCAAACATACCAGTGCAGTTTGTCCCGGTTATGCCGCTTTCACATGTACATTTGTAGGATTTCCCATCTGCTGCGCATGTCCCRTACATACAAGGGTTATTCATGCATGCCATCTTCCCTGTAATGGAAATCTCACTGTAAATCATAGCAATATTGCCTGACTTGAAAAGTGATCAAACATTAACTGGGTAATTACAATATCTCCATTTATACAATATAAAGAGATCATAAAAAGTAGGTTTTTTAGTTGGTGGTGTTTTTATTTAAGAATTATTTCAATTTTTAAAATCGAAACAAAAGCTCTAAAGTCAATGAAGTCAAAGTCAATGAAGTCAATAATGAAGTCAATAAATTTTTAAATAAATACAAAATCTTCCATTAGTGCTATAATATGCAAAGGAAAATAAATTTCACTTACAAGGCACCATCCTTTTCGCATCTACAGAAGTCGTGCTTTCGTTTTTCGCATTAGTACGAGTCAGATTAAAAGCAATGTAGACATAGTCTCCAAAGTCAACAGTCTGCGCTGYAGCCTTAGTTCCGTTRAGKAYATCATCACAACACATCGCATCGACACCCTTGTTATGAAAACACACCCCCTGTTTATCGCCTTTGGTGAACGGTTTTGTTATCTTRAATGGGCCAATCATCTTGCTCATGTTTGCCATTGAGAKCTTYGCATCAATTTGGATCGTGCAATTGCACGCTTTCATCCACGAGTACACGAAGCACTTTTTGGCCATGACTTTTGGCTCTATCATTCGATTYGTTGGCTGTGCTGGAGCGGCTGCATCAATTTCTACAATGAAATGAATCTATCAATAAACGATTGGTAAATAAAGCAAGTGAATAAAACAATAAAATGAATCTTGATTGTCGAAGATATTCCGACCACTTAACGATTSTCTGTCGAAGTCATTCCGATTACTTTACGGATKATATTAAATTAGAGGTCGAAGTTGTTCCGACTACTTTACCGATTGGTGGCCGAAATYCTTCCGACTTCTTTATCGATTGAAGGTCGAGGTTGGTCCGACTACTTTACGAGCGACGAGAACTTTTYACGAAGTTGAAACTTGTTGACAACTTAACTACAGCTTAAAATCACGCWATCGATCTATCGAGGGRGAGAGAAGGAAAATAAAAGAGCGTGCTGTCGTTTTGGGATTTGAAAATGGAAAAGCACAATATTATAAGAACCCTTCACTTCACTACTTCCATCCTTTCCCATCCCTTCACTTCACTACTTCCATCCTTTCTCATCCCTTCACTTCACTACTTCCATCCTTTCTCATGCCATTAAAACACCGAAGAGAGTTGTAAATATTTGT